GGATGTGTGCACTGGCCCCCTAATCTCAGCATTGCTCTGACCTCTGTTGCTTACCTGGGTATTTGTTCCGCTCGGCGGTCTAGGCTGGGCTGTAGTTGAGAGCGCTGCTTGGTTTAGTGGTCCAAGGCTTCCTCCTCCCTTGTCTTCGTCTTCCTCTGACGGGCCTAGTTTAAACCAATGAACCAATGTAGGCAGCAGAGGTCTTGTGCCTTCTGCCCACCCTCACACCAGAGTTGCACATGCTGTTTTTAGCTTTTGTCAACAAGGGAAAAGGAGAGGATTGCTGCTTCATTAATCAAGGGACAGATGCCAGGGGCAGGCATGTGCCATGCTGCTTTGCTGCCCCAGTCCTAGCTTTGCCGCAGCTGGAAATCATACTTCTATGTGGACAAATGCTTCCTAGAAGTTAGGATGCCTGGCCAGACTCTTCACTTCTGACCTAAGGCACATTTTGGTGAACTCTGATCCGTTTCCTTTACTCTTTCATCCCCAAACTGAAACCACAGTAAAGAGATGTGCCCTATCTGCACAGCAATTACAAAGGCTCCAGTTGTTTGATGCTTCCCTTTGCTACTACAAGAAGCACATGTAAATACAACACACTCCTCCCAGCTGGGGTTTTAATGCAGAACAGCTGGGTCCAGCTCTTTGCTTCAAAGGCTGTTTAATTTCCAGCCCACACCAAGCTCCTTTGAGTTCACAGAGGTTGCAGCAGCTCCATTCCCCAAACGCAGGAGCTCACACAATGCTCATCCGTTTCAGGACAGTAAAAAATGTTCATGCTCTGTTGTGTTTTCTCTGTCTCCAAGGGATAAATGCCACCATGTCTGAGACCTGGCACACCATGCTTGAGAACAGCACTGAACAACAGTACATGGACAGGAGTCTCCCAGAAAGAAAAATTGACTGCTGAGCCACTTTTCTATTACATGCACAGAGCCTGGTGTCCAGTAAAATTAAATACCTAGGTAAAGAGATGTTTGGGAAGGAAATGATTGTCTGCTTGCCCAGACAGCAAGTTTTCAGCTGACTAAAACATGAAGCAGGCACCCAAGTACAACACAGTCTTCACAGATGCGTCTCATGGACACATTGCCATTTCTTTTTACCTGTTAGGGTGCTACTCAGGTTCTGTCCTCAAGTCTTAAATCACTATATGCATTTCTTACCATACCTTTGGTCTCCACAGCCATTTCTATACACAAAATTCCCTAGTGTTAGCCTTATCCTGTTGGATTTATACAGCGAGACCAACATTTAAAGCCACTGGGCACCAGAAGGGACTATGAAATTACAGGTGCTGGGGTAAGACTGATGCATTAAAACAGGAATGAGCTGCAAGACCTATGGAGGGGGAACAAAAGTTCAGCAGAGCCAATGATGGGCTCCAGAAGCAAGGCTGGTAGCTCTGCCTATTAAGTCTTTTTGACATTTCCAGTTTTCATACCATTTTTAGTTGCCTTCTCTCTCTCTAGGGTTGGTTTTCATTGATGACACCCTGCTTCTGCCACTGGTTCCTCTGGGTGTGGAAAAGCTATGCAAACAAAGCTAGTTAACAGTGGTGACTTACCACAGACCATGCCATGCTTGCCCCTGTCCCCCAGTAGGAAATGCTAAACTCAGTTTACCCTAAATGAAATGGGATTAAGTTGCCACATACTCAGGGTTGTTTTTTTAAACCATGGAATAATTGCGGGCACACAGGGTTAGTGTCATGAGTTATCTATCCCAAGTTCCCTGTTCATTCACTTAATGCAATTTGTTCCCACTGTTAGCTAAGGTCCAAACAGTGGATCTAATGGCCAGGTGGGTGTCAATATGTGAATATAAACTATTACTAGGCATCAGTCCAGTCCTACAGGGGTACTTAAAAAGGACACTAGCATTCAGACTGCATTTAGATGGCCCATGCATCCTCAAGTCTCCATGTGCATAAGCATAACAGTCCAGTCGTGACCATTCTTCTACAGGCTGGGCTTGTACTGGGAATTAATCAGGTTTTGTACTGGACACCACTCTTCTTTAAGTCCCATACCCCATTCACTGCACAAATGAGGTGTGGAGTGAATGAGGCAGGGGATTGCAAGGAAAAACTTCATGCCCAAGACACGTGAATACTGCTGTGGAGAACAGATTATTCTGTCCCTGCTTCTACCCAGATTCTGTCCCTACCCAAGGCTCCTAATGTGATGCTGGGCAAATCACTTGGGATTTTCAAGGGTGGACACTAATGGTTTCTTCTGATTCTCAGTGCCTGACTCAAGACCTTGGCTGCTGGCTTGCAGATACGGTTTCAACATGCAAAAGTGCTACATGATGCCACGTACTCAGAAAATCCCCAGTGCTAAGTGTCTAGTGGGCACTGAAAATCAGAGCACACAACCCTCACCTGTGCCTAAAGTTCTCACCTGCAGGAGAGACACCATCCCCTCCCTGTCCAGGGGTGGTGTGAATATAAAAATCAATGTTTGTGAGGCTGCAACAGAAACTTTTATTGATGAGCAGCAGAGAAAATGTATGAAAGGCCATAATTAACTCCATCTTCAGAACAGTTTGAATGTGGTGCCATAAATCAGACATACAATGAACACAGACAAAATATCGAACAGCTGTTCATTACTCAGTACCATTTATTCTATGCATTAAATGGGACCGTGTAATTAGACAATCATATGTACACAAAAGGAGCCTGAATTGTCAGGCTAACACTTTCAGCTTTCCCAACTTCTGAGTGATTGAAATGGCAATACAAAAAAAATCAATGCTCCTTTAACATAGTTTGCATGTGGTCAGATATGAAGGGTCCCCACAAAAGCAGGCAGTTTTGGGCTACAGGACTGTTGTGCAGTGGTAGGGTTTTCTGACAACACACACATCTTCCAGTTCCAAAAAGAGCACACAGAAAGACATCTATAAGCTTTAAAACAGGAGTGAAAATACAGTTTTCACTTAGGCCAGCTGAAAGATTTCTTTTCCCTGCACGGTTTGGGTTGAAGGAACCATTTGCAATACTGTCTTTTAGCAAAGGGACCTAAAATGGATGTCCTGACCTCTTGTGGTCATCAATGATTGGTATGGAGAGGAACTTTGGTTGCTGTTAAATCAGGCAATAAATATGGGTTAATTCAAGAGGCATTAATAGTATAAATTCAAGCCTTCACATCAGAGGACTCCTTTCTGTATACTGTCTTCACAGCATTCAGAGCCCTTGCTACCCATCAAGAGAGCTGACAAATATCGCTTGTTAATATGCATTAGAAAGGTAGAACTGGGAGGTATTCCTGGGTCAATCCTGTCTTCAGCTCTTGCAGGAAGCCATGTCAGATACTCTACTTCAGAAACTCAGCAAGTTCCAGCTCTTAAAAAGTGGGGTGTCTTGCCCCACTTTATCTGCAAGTGGGGAGTATCAGTTCTGGTCTTGGAGCGCTTACATTGTGCCTTCATGAACTTTTGCCCTTTGCCATTTTAGGCTGAGAGCTCATTTGTACTTTCCTGTGCTAAGCCCTCAGGCAGCCTAAGGAACTAGAGGCTCCATCCCACACTTGCCTGCACTTTGGTGTTGTGCAAAACTGCATTTAGTAGAATTTGGCCCCACAGTTGGGTTTCCCTCTTAATAAAAGGCAGTAGGAATAGGAAGGTGTTATAATAATCAAAATGAACTTTTTTGAAATTTTATTGGATCATCTTGACACAAAATCGTTACAGCAGCTTGTGGTATGTTTTTCTTTTCTTTGTAAGGGAATGTTGATAGCAAATAAATTTCTTTTAATATAACACATCATACAGTTTCAAAATTCTAGAATCACCGCACAGGATTCTGTAAGAGAAAAAAACTACATGCTAAAGTGACAATTTTCATCCATGAATTTTGTTTTTAAAAAAACCCCACTAATTAAGGAACATTATCTTTTAAGACAATTTTATATGTTCGGTTTCTAATACATGAACTGGCTAACCAAGGGAGGCTGACCAATACCAGACACTACCACTTCACCAGCAGAGGGGCCTGCTGCAAAGGGGTTCCTGCCATACTCAAGCACAGACAGAACAGGATGCAGGTCCTAGCAATAAAACCATAGCAGAGCCTTTAAAAACCAACCTAGTATGGGGTAAAGTATAAAGAGCACAATCTATGTTTAACATAGTACATTAAATTAACCCAAAGGATAAAGATCCCTGTCCCATACAGGTAGGGTTTTCTGTAGAAGTCTACTGTGCAATAAGGACTCCTGCTGAAGCAGTGTGATAGTCAAAAAGTTGCAGACATTTCAATTCTCTCCCCTGCTTTTTGGAGCCACTGGCAATTCTCACCTCAACTCCAAGCAACAGTCATCTAACAGGTTGCTATCTTATTGGGTATAGAGCAACACAAATTTTGAAGAAAACTTTAGGAGGAGAGGCAGATAGTGTGGGGAAAAAATGCCACTTACGTCTATTTTGCTCATCTGTTTTACACAGACTGAAGGCTGTCCCTTTCCAATCAATGATTCCAGGTATTAGTTAACAAAAAGCACAGAGCAGAGTCAACTTGTCACTGGCTAGCCCTGGTCTTCCCTCTCCCAACTGGGCAGGTGCCGTTTTGATGGGATGGCCCAATTATGCTGTCAGCACGTGTCTAAGGCTGAATCCACCATCAGGAAGGCAGGCCCACCAGAATGCTTCTGGGATGACAAACCTCACCACAAAAGCAGGGGTAGGGCAAATGTTTCAGAACAGGAAGTATTTCAGGGGCATACTTCTCCAAGCTGGTAGCGGTCAACCTCATCTGGAGAACCAAATTACTAAAAAAAAAAGAATTAAATTAAATAAAATTAAAAAAAACAGGAGCAAAAGACCTTTGGATTTCCAGTTTCTTTGCTACATTCTAACTTTTTAGGAATGTGAAATCTCAGTGGACTTTACAAAACACATCAGCAGAGATCACTTGAAGGGGAGAGGCTTAACAGGCCTCGTTGTGGGGACCAACGAGAGCAGAGAGGACTGAGCAGTACCGCTTTTCAGCCTGTGCTTGATATGCTCTATATGTTCATCCTCTATCCTTTCAATTGGCAATAACTGAAGGTTTAAGGCCCAAGGCAGCAGTCACAAGCAGAAATTCAGTAACATCCCAACTCTTACCAGGCTCGTGGATTAACTCTTAAGAGATCAACAATGTAGATATTCTGGAACAACTGAATTTGAGATTCAAAAGGAAGGCCTCCATGTCACACATCAGCCTCTGCCAGAAGCACATCATCTCCAGTACAGTGGAGCTGAGAACAAGTTCCCCCGACAGGCGAAGGCCACCTCCCTTGGTAACAAGTGCAATCACCAGATGACACTGCTGATAGAGCTCTGCTTCACTCCACCATCCCACACAGGAGGAAAGGCATATTGGATCACCATGACTCGCGGAATAAATATGCCCCCCGTGAAACATGTCAGGATCTCTCTGGACTGGAAAGGGTTAACACCACAACTGGTAAAAATTTGAAATAAAAAAAAGTAAACAGACAGCCTTAAAATGTCTAAACTGCAAACAATGGTGGAGTTAACTGAAAAGCACGTGCCCAGGATAGTACATGCGTATGAGGGAGAAACTTAACACTTGGATCTGGTTTGTCTTGATGTGGTTTTAAGTGCATCTCTCGCTGTTGCAGTATTTATGAGGGACGTTCAGCACATTGACAACGTCTCTTTCATCTCGTCCAACAAGTTGCTAAGCAGGGTGGACTCGTTACACTTTCCATCTACAGAGACAGAATTCTCTCCCTTGAAAAGAGAAAGGTGAGGCTGTTAGCTCCTCCTCGATCACAACCCGGTTCTACACCCAACAGTCAACGGCGGCCGCGGCATACCCAAGGTTTGCTCTGCCACCAGGGACTGCAACTACGACACAGTTTCAGTTGCCTGCACAGTCCCTTAGACAAAGCAGCAAAGGAGAAGCCCGATTAGGACAGCGGCCATGAACCCTGCTCTTCTCCCTTGGCGCAGACTGGGCAATATGGTTGTGTTTAGCTCACAGTCCTCTAGTACCTCTGCCAATTCTGAACCCCTGGGCAACACGAATTGAGGTTCATCCGTGTCGGCCCAGATCTAGGCATTCAGGAGGGCCACCAGGTAGCTGGGCTGGCAGAAGCCATCTAGAAAACTCACCGTAAAACATTCCCAGTTCCTAAGCATCTTATGACCTTTCCCTCAAAAAGGGTACAGACTAAGTTAGTCTCTACTCTACCTGACTATCCCTTTTCAGAACTTACCTTTTTTACCAGTAGGCAAACATGATGACCTTGAATAGAACGACTGTACATTGATGCACAAGAATCAACTCGTTCCACAACTGCAAAAAAAAGAAGTCTTTTTATCCAAAAGCCTTTTCTACCACCAATTGCTTCCACTGAAGTATATTAATACAGTCTAGGACCATGCTGTTAATGGTGACTGGCCAGTGCATCATTACAGTCAGGAGAGAGGAGTGATGTGGTCTGGATGCCTTTCCTACCTATTTGCTTTTTCAAATGGGTGTAATGATGTTGCGACACTGAAATTAATTCACAAATTGCCTTCTCACAAAACTGCAAAGCCTCCTTTGCTGCAAGAACTATTTGCGAGGAAACAATTATTTGTCCTGAAAATTAAACACAGGCCATCCTAAAAAGCCAAGAAAAGCCCTCAAAGTCATTTCAGCTCACCCATCCATGTAGTCTGGAGAAAATGCAGTCCATATCTTTGCCTGAGAATTGCCAGCACTTCCAAGTTAAAAGTACCAACTCTCCTCCCCACCCCCAGTAATTAAATGTAGTACTGGTGAAGGGTTAGAATGAAAGCACTGAAGACAGAAAGAAAGCAAGCAACTGCTGTAAACAGCAGTGACAGCCAACAGCAATGCAAGGTGCCCTTGTAGCACCTGCCAACATGTCCCACCAAACAAAAGGAACCGTCGATCTATTGGGATCCTTATGGGTGCTCATTTGGGGTCGTCTTGGGCTTTGATGGGGACACCTTGCCATTCCAAAACTCAGGCAAGACCACTTCCACCCGTATCCGATTTCATACGGACTATATCTGATCTGCGACCACAAACTAAGAGTACTTCCATTCCCTGAGCTGAGCTACTCTCTGGGCATGTCTACACATGCATTAATGAGCCCTTCTTACTGTCCATTACGTTTAGTACCTGTAATAATGGGTATTAACTCAATGCACAGTAACTGGCATTACTGTACAATAGCGCCAACACACAGTCTTTTAATGACATGAATAGTAGACTAATTCTATTGCACATTAGTGCTTGCAGACAGATCTACACTGGGAACTTACCTGAAAAATGGTGGTGAAAACAAATCTTTGCCAGTAGATGTTGGAAAGAAATGCTAATTCCATCTACTTTTATAGAATTCATGTGCAGATCCCCAGACTCCAGCAGCTTGGCAAAAGCATCGCTGTGAAAACATGAAGGAGAATAAACCGTTGGCTATGAACTCAGGCTGATCTTGGCCTTGACAACACCATGCAGGCTTTAACGAATCTAAATGACACAGCAGCCTGGGTGCTGTTAAAAATCTAGTGGGGACACTGAAGCTTAGAAGAGGCACTGGAATCCACACTCCAGACTGTATCACGGTATCTCCCATCTCCGTAACAGAAAAAAAAATTGCGGATTCCTCATCGACCTCTGCTAGCCCATCATACGCACCACTGTTCAAGTTGGTTTCAGAGGTAATTGGAAATGAGGGACAGACATTTTAATAAGTAGGTCACGGTTCCTTCATAAAACAGAAAAACTGCAGACAGAAGCAATCAGCTGGAAAAGTCAGAAACATGCTGCACATCCTGCAAAGGCAGCCCACAGCCAAAGCTCAGCTTCATGTGGGTGGTAAAGACATCAATGCTGTGAGGCACAGATAAGGCAGCGAGCCCCCTTAGGTGGCACTTACCTATAGCAAGGCGTCGTGATCAAGTATGAAGCGCAACTGAAGTGCAATTTGAAATCTAGTTTTTCATGGGTTGAACCTTCATCATTCTGCAACAGGTCAAAGGAGAGGAGATGAATGGGAGCCCAGAGGCAGCAAGAGGAGGCCCCCACCCCAATCTACCAAACAGAGACGTGGTCGAAAGCCCACTGACTCTCTAAGCATTCCATTTAATGGACCTGAAGATCTGGTTCTGAGGAAGGAGAGTAGCAGAGTACCTGTCATATTTGAGTATTGGGCATTTGGATAATGGGCCACCCTGACGTTAGGGATGAGCTGGCATTTTTTGGGACATGCACGTAGAGAAGGGTTAAGGGACATATTTTACAAATGAGGTAGCCAGATAGTTCTGACCCAGTTTTAAACCTGTGTCCAGTTAAAGCACGTATTGAGCGGAGTGAATTTGTCTTGTTATCTTCCAAGAGGGAGTATTACATCTCATTGCATCAAGCTTGTACTTGAGAAGTAGCTTGGAGTAAATTAACAATTCCTGGGTCTTTCCAAGGAATGTGTTTGCTATAAAACTGATCAAAAATGAAAAACAGCTGAGATGACAATGGCCCCTCCAAGCCAGCCATTCACTTGCAGCTCAGGTTGTGGCTTTAAGTTCAGAAAATTTAATGTTCAGACAATTTAAACAACACTAGTAACCAGCATATTTTGAAAACCAGACCTTGGTCCTTATTAAATGGCCCCATCTTGCTCTCAGCTTTTACCCTGCATTAATAACATCCAACTCCTATTGCCATTTTCCAGAAACAGGGAGTCTATAGAGCAGTAGTGAATGGATCACCAGATGGGCTGGGGTCAGAAGGAACAGCCTCTGCACTGTTTCTCCTTCCAGCTGGCTGGGCAACATCGTAGATGACCTCCCCACCTTCCCAGGCAGATGTCTCCCCAAAGTGATCCTTAAACAGATAAAGAGCAATGGAATCTGAAACATCTGCCACATACTGATGGAGTGACCCCTTTGGACATGCTCATCGCACAAGATGTCATGTAAAATACTTCTCACGTTGCAGAATGGGCTGATTAGCAGAGATGAAATGATGCCTCAGAGAAGCTCCAAAGCAGTGCCTTCTACCCAAGTCAAGCTGCCTTATGCAGTCCCAAAGGAAGGCAAGACCAGAGTTCAAAACTGCACTTACTTTGACTATAAAGGACAGTGTTCCTTTTAGCTTCTGAGCCATAACAATGCTCTGAAGAGTAAACACAAACTGGGCTTCATTAGAGATTCCTAGCATGGAGAAAGGAGAGAGTGGGAGTAAGGTCATGAAGAAAGGCTTCATATCTGATTATGAGACTTAAACACATTTCGACCACAGGCAATGCGCAGTGGTGCTGAAGCACAAAATAAGCTTCTCTCTCATTTATGTTTGGAACTAGATTAGGCGTGGAAGGCTCAAAGGAGCCATGTGCCCAACTCCCACTGTAAGATTTGGGCACGCGACTCCCGGGCCTCTTTGAAAACCACAACTTAGAGCTAACTAAGAGCATACATTAAGTGGAGATACATTTAAATCACTTTTACTTCAACAGATGTAAACAGTTCTGCAGCGAAAGAGCTTTACATAACATTCAAGAGTTTTCCCGCTTGTAATGATTTGCTGTTAACATTCAAGGGCTTGTACCAGATTTCTTTAAAATAATATCACCAATTGTTCTTCAATGGTGTACCCATCCAGGCACTTCAAAGTACAGTGAAGTCACTAAGCCTTAAAACACTCCTTTGAGGTGCATGTTGGTATCAGCCTCAATTTAAAAATGAAAAAACAACGTGGTAAAAAAGTGAAGTAACTCAGTGCCCCTAACTGTAACAATCAGTGTCTTGTAATATTCGGTGTTTAAAGGACTCAACTCCTGGATTCTAATAGTCAGGTGGAAATCTGCTTTTCATTACATGTTATCACTATCCGTTTCTTATTTTCAAACTTTTCTCCCCAGCCAAAGCGCATGCTAGACATTTAGAAAACAGAAGGCAAATAAGGAATAATTTAAGCCCTCCTATTAAGTCAGTCTCATGTTTTTTGCATGCTTGAAGTTGGCAGCACTCGTGACTGCAATTTCAATGTTTCTCAATCTGTGCAGAACTGGGAAGAAATCCTGATAGCCCAATTCCCAGTCCTACTGTTAGCTACTGCTTTACTATGCCAACATGAAAAACATCTCTAAATAATTATGGTTCCTGAAGGAGAGCTAGATCTCCAATCACTCATCTAAGAGTCTAGAGAGACTGCAAACTCCTCACACAATCGGGACAAATCCAATTTTTGCAAATAGCAAACAACTTAGTTTCCTCTACAATGTGGAGTTACACACATTGTGACCCACACACCGCTGCAGCTGTCCATTGACCATACCAGGGGGCAGCTGGAAGGGCACAGGTATCCCATCATGGACTGATGACCCTTCTGGCCGGATCATTTTAGTGTTGAGAGAGTCCAGGACATTTAACTCCATACTCTTCACGAAGCTGGTACTCTTGTTCTCAAAGATTACCGAGACAGTGACTTGACTGTCGTTCTGGAGATTTCCTTGAATATCGTATGTCTGCAAATGAAGACGTCACAGGAAGGCATTGACAACTACTCAGAGAACCCAATGAGACTATGACAAGTTTCAGACAGCAGTGCATTAGACAGTTCAATATTGTTGATTGGCTTCCTAGTCTTAATTGCACAGCAGGACAACCAAGCACTGGGATGGTATATGTGGATTTAATTAAGCTTTCGGTGATAGATAAAAAGCTATGGGAATGGATCCTGCTATGTGTATGTGACTAGTAATTTCTAGCGACTGGCACTAGCATAGTTTACACCATTACAATGCTGCCTAAGTAATCTCTGTACAGTATTAGTAGATTATGATAGGGAAATCTCAGTATGCACAGAAAATACAAGAAGGGAGATTATACAGACTGACATATGAGCAATTTAATTAATTACCCACCATTTTAATGTAAGGGTTCTCAGCAAGAAGGTGATAACTGGACATAGGCTGAAAAACAGGAAAGACATTACATAAAGAGTCATGTGGCTGGAAGGTAACGAACTCCACAAAGCACATGGGCTTTGCCTTTCATCCCAGGCATATCTTGAAGCAGCAAGCAAATGCCCTTCACTTATATGCAAGGGATGTTTTCTCACTCTAAGACCTCAAAGTACATTTTATTGAGCTCAACGGTACATGCTAACCCTCAAACCCCAGCACAAACACCTTTCTTCACCTTTAAGAAGTAAAGAAACCAATTTCTTACACACAGGTTATACCAGCTCAAGCATGGCTTATAACAAGTGGATGTAAGAGATAAAACAGTAGGCTAAAGGAGAAGGTGGGAGCCTATCTACCCTACTCAGATGAGCAGTCATCTCACCTAACAGGTCACCAAAGCCTCTCTAGAAGGGCTTAAAATACTTAATGTGAACTCTGTGCACAATCCCAGTTGCCATTTCACTTCCACATACAACTGTAGAGCCCCAAACACTGATGTTCTTTAGTCTCTTCTTTTTTTTTTAAAACCCATTTACCATTTAACCTAAACTGCAAATATTTTTTCAGCTGGAGGATCCCCTTTACCTTTTGAAAAGAACTTTGGCTAGGAAACTCCCAGGAGTGGCTGCTAAGCTACGGTGTGTGGAGAAGGTGGTCACTTGGTGGCACCTCAAGTGCATTTCAGAGAACTAACAACAGATTAACTCCTTCCCTAACGTTAAAGCTCCTTATTTGTTCTACAGCGAATTCTGCAGCTGTTACAAGGAAGGTTTAAAACCCAGTCTGTAGTATGAAATAATTTGGAAGGTCCTGAGGCTTAAGGTACAAGAGCTGCTCAAAAGTATGCAGCAGAAACCCATCTCACACCAGCTCTAGCATCTCTTGCCTTGGACAATTCCTTACCGGTAGTGGTTCATCTTCTAGTGTTCCATTCTGTACCGACTCCACTGGCTCCTCCTCACTGTGATGGTGCTTTTTCTTGGACTTCTTTTTGTCCTTGGATTTCTCCTCCTTTTCCTTCTTGTGCTTTTTCTTCTTATGTTTGGAAGATTTCTAGCATGGAATTGAAATGAGTCAGCAATATTCTCTCAAAACCTACCGCTAAGACACCTCTCCCAGTACTGATACTTCAACTTCCTACAAAGGGCTGGAAGGGACCTTCTGAATCGCATGGTGCTGAGACGTGCTGCTCCCTGCTGTAACTCATGGCGCTTCACACAAAGCACCATGAGTTACAGCAATCCCCAACAGATGCTCTTTTAAAAGCCTTCAATATGGTCTCCTATGACACTCCTATTAAAAAAAACCCGGGGGATTGTGGGCTGGCAGAGTTCACGGTCAGGTGGGTTGGGAACTGGCAAAGGGGTCGAACCCAGGCACTGTTAGCAGACGGGACTGTATCGTTTTGGTGGAAAGTGGCTAGTGCTGTCCCGCAGGGTTCCGTTCTTGGCCCCGTGCTGTTCAACATCTTTATCAATGATTTAGATCAGGGGGCAGCAGGGCAGGCCCTACAAGGAAAGCCTGTGGGACCTGAACCTGTTCAGCCTCCACAAGAGAAGGCTGAGGGGGGATCTAGTGGCCTGTTACAAACTAGTCAGAGAGGACCAGCAGACATTGGGTGAGTCCGTTTCCCCAAGCACTACCAGGAGTGACTAAAAATAACGGTCACAAGCTGGCAGAGGGTAAATTCAGATTAGACATCAGGAGGCGCTACTTCACTGTCAGGGCGGCTAGGATCTGGAACCAACTTCCAAGCAAAGTGGTGCTGGCTCCTACCTCGGGGGGTCTTTAAGACAAGGCTAGACAATCACCTTGCTGGGGTCGTTTGACTCTTTCTTGCCATGGCAGGGGATTGGACTTGATGATCTGCTCAGGTCCCTTCCTATCCTACTAACTATGAAACTATGTGGAAAGCACGCTTGCCAAGTTTATGGATGGTACTAAGTTATGGGGGAAAGCAGTCATGCTAGGGGATAGGCTGCAGACCCAAGCGCACCTGGACAAGCTGGAAAGGTGGGTGGAGTGGAACTGGATGCAGTTCAATAAGGATAAATTCAGAGTGCTTCATCTGGGGAGAAGTAATCGGCATGATGAATGTAGGTTAGGAGATGTCCTGGCCAGTGCTTTGACTGAAAGGGACCTCGGGGTTATGGCTGATCACAGGATGAACATGAGCTGCCAGTGGAATGCTGTAGTCATAGCTAACAGCATACTGGAATGCATTAGCCGATGCATCGCAAGCAGGGATAAAGAAGTCATACTTCCCATCTACTCAGTGCTGGCAAGACCCCAGCTGGAGTACTGTGTCCAGTTCTGGGTGCCACACATCAAAAAAAGATGTGGAGAATCTTGAAAGGTTCCTGAGAAGGGCCATAAGAATGATTAAGGTCCTGGAGGACAAACCTTATGAGGAAAGACTGAGAGAGCTGAAACTGTTCAGCCTGGGGAAGAGACGACTGAAGGGGAACTTGGTGGCTGTCTATAAGTATTGTAAGGGATGAATTTTGGGAGCTGGGAGAAAAACCATTCACTAGGGTGCCCCAGGGGAGGACAAGGATCAAGGACCATGAACTGTTAGAGGATGGTTTCAGGTTGGATTCATAGATGTTAGGGTTGGAAGGGACCTCGGTAGGTCACCGACTCCAACCCCCTGCCCTGGCCAGGAAAGAGTGCTGGGATCAGACAGCCCTAGCTAGGTGCTTGTCCGGTCTCCTCTTGAAGACCCCCAGAGTAGGGGAGAGCATCACATCCCTAGGAAGCCCATTCCAGATTCTGGCAAACCTTACTGTGAAGAAGTTCTTTCTAATGTCCAACCTAAATCTGCTCTCCATCAATCTGTGGCCATCGTTCTTAGTTACTCCAAGGGGTGCCCTAGTAAATACAGCATCTCCTATTCCCTGCTGCCCTCCCCTGATAAATTTATAGGTAACCACAAGATCACCTCTCAGCCTTCCCTTGCAAAGGCTGAAGAGATCTAGGTCCTTCAGTCTATCCTTGCAGGGCCTTGCCTGCAGGCCACTGACCATACAAGTGGCACCCCTCAGAACCCTCTCAAGATTCTCCACGTCCCTCTTGAAGCGCAGCCCTCAAAACTGGACACAGTACTCCCACTGCGGCCTGACCAGTGCATCACCTCCCTGGACCTGTTCGTCATGCATCTGCTAATGCATGATCAAGCACGGTTAGTGTTGTTGAGATCACTTCATCACATTGATGACTCATGTTCATCTTGGAGTCAACTATGACTCCAAGATCCCTTTCTGCTGCTGTGCTGCTGAGAAGGTCATCCCCCAGCCTGTAAGTGTGTTGGTGGTTCTTTTTGCCCAGGTGCAGAACTTCCCACTTGCGTTTGTTGAACCGCATCCTATTTCACTCTGCCCATTTTTCCAACCTGTCCAGATCAGCCTGGATCCGTTCCCTACCCTCTGGTGTGTTAACTCTGCCCCATAATTTGGTATCATTTGCAAACTTGGACAGGGTGTTCTCCACGTCCTCATCCAAGTCACTGATGAAGACACTGAATAGCACCAGTCCAAGGACCGAGCCTTGAGGGACTCCACTGCTCACATCTTTCCAGGTTGATATTGTCTAGTCTACCACCACTCTCTGGGTGCGACCCCTAAACCAAATTTGCCACCCACCTGACTCTGTATTCATCTACAGCACGTGTAGATGCAAGGACGAACTTCTTTACAGCAAGGGTGGCCAGAATCTGGAAGACTTCCCAAGGAGGTGGTGCAGTCCTCAACCTCCAAAGTCTCCAAGAGGAGACCGGACAGACATCTTGCTGTGATCATCTGATCTCAGCAGTATTCCTGCCCAGAACAGGGGGGTGCAACTCAATCTTTTGAGTTCCCTTCCAGCCCTTAACTGCTATGATTCTAAAGCGCTCTCCAGCCACGCGCTTCTGTTAGGCTACAGCTGTAGAGTGCTTTCAGAGGGCCGATCGCATGACATCATCACTTCTGTCAGCGCCGAGTGTCCAATCCTATGCTAACACAAGCAACTACATCATATAAGCCCACTCTACATACCTCAGTAATGATCCTCTGTGCTGGGCCCCAGTGTGCTACTCTGGACTGTTGCCGATGCTCTGAACCCAAACCAGCCCAGTACAAGCAGAGGTCAGAATCTGTTTAAGTGGCACCTTTGACTAAGGGCAAAAGTTCCGTCTTGACCATGGTTGGCTAACTGTCCCCTCTGGCTCAAAACATAACCCATGCTTTATTACTCTGTATTCAGAGGTCCCTGGGGACAAGATCTCTCATCAGTGCCTACGGCAGGGTTTTCTGAACTTCTCCGAAGCAGTCAGTACTGGCCATCATTAGTGACAGGTAGAACACTGCTTTGATCTAGGTTGTAACTCTTATGTTTTCACTTGCACTAATCTTCTGGTACTCGTGACTACTGGCCTCAACTATAACCACTGACCTTTCCTTCATCGTCTTCCTCCTCTTCCCTGTCCTCCTCCTTCGGTTCTTCATGGTCTTTAGGTTCAGCTATGGCAGTGCTCACCTCTGGCTCACTCTGATAAGGAGGCAAATCAGAAAGCTACAATACTAACTTGAAAAGCAAAACAACTGAATCCTGGACAGAATGGAAACAGCTTTAGAACAATTACTGTTGTAGCACTTTAGGGCTGTCACCATTAAAGGATCATCAATTTGTTCATAACCATTTTATTCCAGGAGTAAGCGCACTGACCAAGACACGAAAGAGCTCATCCTAGGAACACGGCTCAAAGATCCCCAACGTTTCTACTTCAAAGTTTGTACTGAAAGCTAGAGTACTTTTAGAGCACTTTCAGATTATGCATACCCTTGGATCCATTAGTACTGCTAGCTCTTGGTTCACGCTGGAAGGAACGCTTTGACAACAGTTTAACAGAAAACCCCTCCAGACCTCACTCTACCCCTTTACTTCTGGGTATAACTTTACACCTGCTCTTCAAACTTTGTGATCACTCTTGAGCAGCAGGACTTGAGCAAAGGGATAAACTTCCACTGCTCCACGGTAATGGGAATCCATATGACCAGACAGAACTGGGGCCTTCAGCTCCTTCCCTCTGGACTAAACACTAGCAGCAATATCAGCAGTGACCCAATAAGAGGCATACCTGTGTCTGTGTAGTGGAGACAGGGGGCGGGGCAGGGGAGAGCCAGAAATCCAAGTCTTCCCCCTGAAATCCAAGGACAAACAAACCTTTAGAGCTGCTTTACATAATTCTTGGACTTTATTTTAGCATCTGCATTATACTGCTGCCCAAACAAGTTGTTACTGTAATAATTTCAGAAGCAGAGTAATAGATAGTTCAAGGAACTAACTAGAACAGGAAACATGATTACAGTGCATAAAGCCATCAAAATTAGCTTTAACTAGCACCTTTGCATTGAGCAAAACAGTGCAGACACTAAAAGTGGAGTCAATCTGATGGCTGATACCCTACAGCCCCTTCAAATAGTCACTAGATTGCAATCAGGACATTGGCTATGCAAGATAAGGGAAGCCTGTAACAGTGCAATTCTCCATGTAAACTGATCGGCAGAGAAAACATTCAAGACTTCAACATAACCCACAACTTTTATTAACTGAAAATTATTATTTTTTAAATAAAAAGCGTTGCCATAAAATGAAAGATGGGGGGCGGGGGGGGGGGTTCAAGAACCTTATGTGGTAGGGAGGATTTCCCTGGTACAGAAGCCGATTCACGGACATTATTGACATATTCCTTTATTAGATCTGTGGGAAGGAAAGGAACGCTGTGTGTTCTGCTGGGATTGGACATTTACTGGCTTTCAGGACTA